GCTCACCAGCTGCTCCTTGGAAACCCTATACAGGGTCACTATGTGTTGGAATCGACTCGAAGGCACTTCACAACAACAACTATTAGTTGATAAGCTCAACTTCTTTATGAATTTCTTCGGATACATTTTAAGCCTAAGTATAGTTTGATTTAGAAAGAACGAAATTTAGGGTTATTAATTTCACAATATTTGATCTGGATTGCTTACCTTCTGTTTTATAATGTTTTAGGGAAAAAATTGCTTATTCTGCAAGATCGTCGGTTCAAACTCCCCAGCCGCTCCCTGGAAATCCTGTACAGCATTGTTGTGGGTCAGAAACGACTCGATGGCATTTAACAACAACATTCCCAGTATATGTATGAGTTAGTGATGTATGGGTTCATGACTCTGAAGTTGTCTGCTTTTTTGAGTCTATATTTGTTTCTTTCAGGAAGACTTCTTAGACCTGACTGTAGCAGTCAAAAACGTATCTGGTTTGGCAGATGCACTCTGGAACATGTATGTAGAAGAAGAAGTTTTTGATGGTGACAACTTATACCACTGTGGGACATGTGATCAGCTGGTTACAGCAGTGAAGGTAAGGATATTTCCCAGGGTGTCTGTTTAGTACTTCCTGCTCAGTACACAGTAGCAAGGAATCAATGTGCATAAAAAGTCTGGAAAGAATATACACAAAACCCTAGCACTTTAACACCGGGTCTTGAACAAACGTTTCTGTAATAAGTCTCAATTTCAGTTTTTTACAACCTTTTGAAAGCTTTCAAGAGAATAGTTGTTTTCCTCTCAGCTTCTTCCTCTCCCAGGAAACTTGCCCTTGCACCCTTTTCAACAAACTCTTCTTACATCTGCTTTATGCAGACTGCTATTCTGAAGAAGGCAGCTGTTAAGTGTCATCAAGTCAGTTCTGACTCATAATGATGCTGTATAGGGCTTCCGAGGAGCAACTGGTGAGTTTGAATCACCGACCTTGTGGTTCAAACTGACCTTGCAGTCCAGTGCTTATCCTGCAGTGCCACACAAGGACTCCAAAATTTAAGATTGGTGACTATTTTACCCCAGTTTGTGGATCTTAACTTTCAGGGAACTCCAAGGCTTTGTACACTCTAGTGAAAGCTATGGGGTCCTCGCCCCAGGAAAGTACCTAAAATTGTCCTAGGATTTAAGGTGTTCAGATCCCAGGTTAACAGCACCAGTTTTTCAGTAAATAAAAAGAACTAGGTTTCTGTAAAGGTGCCCTGGTGACCTCACTGGACTAAGCATTGGACTGCTAACCACAAGGTTGTCAGTTCAAACCTTCCTACAGCTTCAGGGAAGAAAGCCAAGGCTGTCTGCCCTGGTTAAGACTTACCGTCTCGGAAACCCCGAGGAGGAGCGGTTCTCTGTCCTGAAAGGCTAGGGGCTGGGCAGGAAATGGGCCTGCCCGTAACATCGCATTGCGGGGTGTCAGTGCTAACGCGTGTCACTGGGGAGTCCGAGCGTAGTTGTCAGTGTGAATGTGTGATTCCACCTCAGGTCTCCCAGAGCCGCACTGATACCACACTAAGGAATTTAGGGACTGTAAGACATTGATCTTAAAACTGCCTCATGGATGTACTTTTTGTGTCTTAAGCAATATCACTCATTCTTTGTGTATAAGTGGACTCTTAAACTTTGATTTTTTTTTTTTCTTCACAGTCAGCCAAATTACGCAAGCTGCCTCCTTTTCTTACGGTGTCATTATTAAGATTTAATTTCGATTTTGTGAAGTGTGAACGATACAAGGACACTAGCTGTTACACATTTCCTCTCCGGATCAATCTCAGACCTTTTTGTGAACAGGTTTGATCTATTTTGCTTTGAAATATTTTTCTCCCTCCCAAAATTGAATCTTTTATTGTTCAGTAGCTTTATCGGGAGATTTCTCAACGAGCACCATAAACATCGTGAGTCAGGTTGTGGTGGGGCCAGCCTGTGTGCTGTAGGTGTCTAGTGGCACCTCTGCCCACTCAATTCCAATAGTGCCTCCAGACCTCACAGCTGTGATAACCAAGCTGTCTCCAGACATTGCCAGAGCCCGGGTAGGTGAGGAGCAAAGCCCCTGCAGTTTGAGAAGCACTGGTTTGTTATGGTCTCCAAAATACGGCTTCATTCCCACTTCTGGATTCACCCTCTTTGCAAACCTTTGAAGGGAAATTGTAAAAACAAAAGTAGAAAATGACCCTGCCTCGGGAGGCGGGACCTCGTGGCGCGGTCGGAGGCGGGGCAAGCTTTGCATCTCTCGGTGGAGGCGGCCTCCGTGTGGGGCGAGCACGGGGACCCTGCGCCGGCCCGCTCCTGGGTGCCGCGCCATGCGAACACCGGCCTAGAGCCAGGATTGGAACCACAAGATGGCTGCCCAGGACCCTGGGGGCATTAGCCCTCTCCAGCAAATGGTGGCTTCCGGGGCTGGAGCTGTGGTCACCTCCCTCTTCATGACACCCCTGGACGTGGTGAAGGTGCGCTTGCAGTCCCAGAGCCGCCCCTCAGTGGCCTGTGAAATGACAGCTCCTTCTAGACTCTGGTGTGTCTCCTACACCAAATTGCCCGCCTCTCTCCAACCCACAGGGACGTGCCTCCTGTACTGCAATGGGGTCCTGGAGCCTCTTTACCTGTGCCCAAACAGTGCCTGTTGTGCCACCTGGTTTCAGGATCCTACCCACTTCACTGGCACCATGGATGCCTTTGTGAAGATTGTACGGCATGAGGGCACCAGGACCCTGTGGAGCAGCCTCCCGGCCACCCTGGTGATAACTGTACCAGCCACTGCCATCTACTTCGCCGCCTATGACCAACTCATGACTTTCCTGTGTGGCTGAGCCTTGACTTCTGACCTCTATGCACCAATGGTGGTTGGCCCACTGGCCCGCTTGGGCACGGTGACTGTCGTCAGCCCCCTGGAACTGGTACGGACAAAGCTGCAGGCTCAGCATGTGTCCTTCCGGGAGCTGAGCATCTCTGTGCAGACCGCGGTGGCTCAGGGAGCCTGGTGTTCCCTGTGGCTGGGCTGGGGGTCCACTGCCCTTCAGGATGTTCCCTTCTCAGCCCTCTGTTGGTTCAACTACGAGCTGGTGAAGAACTGGCTCAGTGGACCCAGACCAAAGGCTCGGACCTTCGTGGGCATCAGCTTTGTGGATAGTGGCATCTCAGGGACGGTGGCGGCCATCCTGACTCTGCCTTTTGATGTGGTGAAGACTCAGCACCAGGTTGCTCTGGGAGCAATGGAGGCTATGAGAGTGAGACCCCCATGTGTCGACTCCACCTGGCTGTTGCTGAGGAGGATTCTGGCCGAATCGGGCACTAGGGGGCTCTTTGCAGGCTTCCTCCCGAGGAGCATCAAGGCTGCCCCCTCCTGTGCCATCATGATCAGCACCTATGAGTTCAGCAAAAGCTTCTCCCAGAAGCTCAACCAGGAACAACTAACTACGGGCCCTCGAAAGTGGCCATGGGCTGAGGACCCCCATCTCTTCCAGGGATGGGGTGCAGGGCCAGAGGAGACTGAGGCAAGTGCCTTTTCCTCAGCACTGAGGAGCGGGAGCAGGGCCCTGCATTCCTTCCCACCTCAGGGCCCTCAGGACCTCGGATGTGGTTCCTCCTGCTGCTCTCCCCCGAGACTCAGCATTCTCACTACCCCCACCAGGTTCAAGGCCAAATCTGCTGCCTGCTCACACCCTCCTTTCCATGTATGTTTGCTGTAACTGGGTCTGCCTCCAGGAGTCAAAACCCCTGCGTCCATTAATTCCTGATGTCTAAAGATGATGAACTTTAAAAAGAAAATAACCCCGCCTCTGTTAAAGTCAGTGAACTGGACTTTGCTGTTTGCGTTTCCTTTATTGTAAATGTGGTAGCGCACTATGTATCTAGGAAGTGGTGGTGCTGTTAGGCTCCGACTCACAGGGACCCTGTATAGGTTTTCCGAAGAGTGGCTGATGGGTTTGAACCACCGCTTTTGTGGTTCAAACTGACCTTGTGGTCAAGCACAGATCTTGCAGCGCCACACCAGGACTCCATCAAAAAGAAAAGAAAAAAAAAAACAGACAAGACTTCACTAGTCTGGAATTTGTAACTTGGAGAAAAACGTTCTGAAAACAAATGAGTTACACAGTTGACCTAATGGTTATACTATACATTTTCAAATATTCCATCCTTACTATACATGCCAAGATCAAAATGATGCGACGTGTGTATTACAGAGCTCTTGTTGGCTAGTTACTAGACGTCTCAGTACAAAAGTCATCTTTTGTTGATCAACATTTTAAACTTCCAACTCTTCACAGACAGGCTTTCCTCTGCCTCAGCCTAACTAGTGAGCATTTTGTGTTTATTGCACTGCATTCCTTCCCAGTCAGAGTTCTGGTGTGTGGGTCCTCAGCCTGTGGTTGACATACAGAAGAATTCCAAATTGGACATTTCAAGCCAATTCTTTGAATCCATATGAATGTATCCTTAAGTACCAGATGGCAGGGAAGTGTCTTACTCATTTCAGTAGTTGTCGTTTTCCTTTGTTCCATGTCAACAGTCTAACAGTTCCATGTCACTTTCCTAGAGTGAATCGGATGACTCGGAATACATGTACGACCTCTTTTCGGTTATTGTGCACAAAGGTGGCTGCTATGGGGGACATTATCATGTGTATATTCAAGACATTGACCACCTGGGGAACTGGCAATTCCAGGTGATGTATGGAAATTCACTACAGTTCCTGTTGTTCTAAGTGAGGATATCTTAAGTGTTATTTATATGTTTACTCTGTAGAAAACTTTGCAAGGCTGTGGGTAGAAGTGTCAGTTTACTTCTAAACAGTTTCAAACAACAGAGTCCCGTCCTTTGCTTACCACAATGAGCCTGCCTCACAAGTTACAGACCAATCACAGAGCGGAGCAGGCTGCTGCCCGGGCCAGAGAGAAAGGCTCCCACCATTCAGTTGTTTACAGTTACCTAGGCGCTTACCTACAAAGCCTCCCAGAGAGCAGACAGGAGCAGAGGGTATTCCTCAGGGCTTAGGGGACAGAGAACTAAGGTGAAAGGTCACATAACAGGCCTCATCTCACCACATTTGTGAGGACCCCAAGCCTGTTGTCTTGCATTTTCAGTTTCCTCTAATAGAAAATGTGTTCCCTGAAATACGGTGACGATGTTTTAGGCCAGCACTAGTCAGTGATGAAGACCAGCAAGTGTTTTTAAGTGAATGGCCGTGAAAACCCAGCGTGTTCAAGCTGATAGTGCTGACTTAGGAGGACATGCCAGACCCCTGTGTGTACATGCCAGTAGCTTTGCTCCCTCACAGACCTACTCAGAGTTACGGTCCCGAGATCCCTCAGCCACGGTGAAAGGCAAAGGCAGGCTGGCCTGGTTCCAGAGCGTCAGCACGTTGTGGGGCTGTCTTACTACCACTTCTCTGTCCCATAGGTGACGTGGTTATTTTGTGAGAAGCCTTTTTAGGGGTTAATATCAAAAGGACTTTTACTATTTTCTTTCCTAGGAGGAAGAAAGTCAACCAGATGTGAGTTTGAAAGCTCTTCGCATTGGAGAGGAGACTGATGACCCACTGATGGTTCTACATGCAATCTTATCCCAGGTAGGGGTGTGCACATGGCAGCTGCATGTCTGTAGAGAATGATGGTGCTGTTAGCTGTAAGTGCAGTCCTGAGTCGAGGAAGTGTATTCAGTAGTGAGTTGTGAGCTGGGCTGCTAACCACAGGGTCAGTAGTTCAAATCATCCAGTCGCTCCGCAAGAGAAAGATGAGGCTTTCTGCTCCCATTAAGATTCACAGCCTAGGAAACCCTCTACAGGGTCTCTATGAGTTGGAACCGTCTCAGAGGCACCACCACCACCAGCAGCAGCACGAGACTTTGGTGTCGAATTCTCGCCTTCTCTGTGAGAGCCCAGGTTCAGTGAGTCCTCGTCCTATGCACCTCACATCAGTGGAGGTGTGTGTGTTAGTCTGATACTGAAGGAAGGGGTCCGGTTGGCATAATAGTTAAACACTCAGTTGGTCCATCTGCTCCGTGAAATAAAAGCACTGGCGGGAACCTGTTGCGGTGAAGTAGACAGCCTTGGAAACCTTACAGAGCAGTTCGGCTCGGCTCGGTGTGGTCTCTGAGTGGAACTCAACTTGACCACACAGCAGCAGCGGTGCTGAAGAGATGCCAGCAGAGCTTCCACACTCAGACAGTCTGCTGCTGAAATCCCAACAGCCTGAGTTGCGGCCTATCGGGGCGCTGGCATAGTAGCTTGGTGCTCATTTGTGCACAGGCTCCCCACGAGTCATTGGTCAACTTGATAGCAACTATCACCACCAACAAGCTGTCTCCATCAGGACACACCTAAAAAGCAGGATTAGCTCTCTGCTGATGACATGTGACCAGTGGCTCACACGAACCTGGCCTGTAATTGCTCCAGAGAGCAGGACTTCAGGGTTTACTCATCCTGTATCTGTGCTGACTTTATTTAAAACAGAATTTTACTGTTTAGCTATGTTACCTTTTTACTGTCTGTAGAACCTAAAGCTTTGCTCCCTTAGTTATTCCTGGATACTGATTTTTTTAAGTTTTCCCATACTCATCTGATATTATCAGGAGAGACCACTACAGAAGGATGGCATGCTTGGTAAAGTCGAGGGTCAGTAAGAAAGGAGGAAGCTGAATGAGATGAATTTATACAGTGGCCACAACAATGGGCTCAAACACAGTGATGAGTGTGATTGTGGGGAGGGTGCAGGACTGGCCGGTATTGGACATACAGGGTTACTGAGTTGGAACCGACTCATTGGCAGCTAACAACATCAACCCTGTTGTAAAGATGCTAAATTTCCTTTCATGTATTCATTTATTCCTAGACAGGCTTTTATACTTCCTACCAGGGAACTCAAGGAGCTCTGGTAGCATAGTGGTTACGAATTGGGCTGCAAACCACAAGGTCAGCAGTTGAAAACTACCAACTGTTCCGCGGGAGAAAGATGAGGCTTTCTGCTCCCATAAAGATTTATGGCCTCAGAAACCCTGTACAGGGTCGCTATGATTCGGAACCGACTCCACGGCACATAACAACAACAACAATCAGGGACCTCAAAATCCCTTGGTGGTGTAAATGCTTTAGCATTCAGCTCTAGCCAAGAGGTTGATGGTTTGAACCTACCCAGAGGCATGTCACAAGAGAGACCCAGCTTTCTGCTTCCAGAGGTCACAGTTTTGAAAACCCCGTAGAACACAGTTCTTCTCTGATACACATGGATCTTCACGAGTCAGAATCAACTCAGTGGCAATAACAAGACCTTGGACCAAGTCCCTGAACTATGACTATATAGTGTCTGGGTGGTGTTGAAGAGTAAGCCCTGCACTGGTAACTGCAAGGTCGGTGGTGAAAATCCTCCTCTGAAACCCTACACCAAGGTGGCTCTGAGTCAGAACCAAGTCAACAGCACACAACAACAAAGTCAACACTTCTTTTAGAACTGTTCATTCGCCAAGAAATTTAGAGAAGACATCAGTCTTTTTGTTTTTGTACTTAGATGTTTCTGAAAGTCCCACATACTATCAGGAGTGTAATCTGTGTCAGCATACTCTTTGCATGTTGCTCTTTAGATGGTTGAATGTTGGTGTGTAGAAAGTGGCATAATTTAAATATTCTAAACTGAGGCTTAGTCCACTTTTTAAAACTTTTTTTGAAATAAATATGGTTAATCTACTTATGTGTCACTTTTAATTAGATATAATTCCATTTGTTCCTTGGAAATCTTGGTAGAATTATTTCTCGTTAGCTTTTTTCTTACCTGAGTGTATTTCTTTTCTAAGGAGGAGAGTAATCTAATTCCTGTTGATCAGCTGGGCCAGAAGATCTTGAAAAAGACAGGTCTGTCCTGGAACCAGAAGTATAGAAAACAGCATGGAGCACTGCGGAAGGTAAGGTTGGACTATACAATCCCAGTAGCTCAAATCCTGCAGAAGCAGACTTACAATCAGTTTATAATAAAATCAGTATTCTTGCTTACTAGCTAGAATTCAACTGTCAAATAACTGTATATGCCCTAAAGCCAAGAAGTAAACAAAAATATAAGGGGCTTTGGTTGCATCGTAGTTACAAGTTGGGCTGCAAACCTCAAGGTCAGCATTTTGAAATTAGCAGTGGTTGCGCGGGAGAAAGACGGGACTTTCTGCTCCCATAAAGAAAACATTATACAGGGTCGTTATGAGTTGGAACAGACTCCACAGCACATAATCTACCAACCAACCAATCACAGAGGGAGTCCTGCATGGCACTTCGGTTAATGTGCTGGATTTCAAGGTCAGTTTGAACTGCAAGGTTGGTGGTTCAGGCTCACCAGCTGCTCCTTGGAAACCCTATACAGGGTCACTATGTGTTGGAATCGACTCGAAGGCACTTCACAACAACAACTATTAGTTGATAAGCTCAACTTCTTTATGAATTTCTTCGGATACATTTTAAGCCTAAGTATAGTTTGATTTAGAAAGAACGAAATTTAGGGTTATTAATTTCACAATATTTGATCTGGATTGCTTACCTTCTGTTTTATAATGTTTTAGGGAAAAAATTGCTTATTCTGCAAGATCGTCGGTTCAAACTCCCCAGCCGCTCCCTGGAAATCCTGTACAGCATTGTTGTGGGTCAGAAACGACTCGATGGCATTTAACAACAACATTCCCAGTATATGTATGAGTTAGTGATGTATGGGTTCATGACTCTGAAGTTGTCTGCTTTTTTGAGTCTATATTTGTTTCTTTCAGGAAGACTTCTTAGACCTGACTGTAGCAGTCAAAAACGTATCTGGTTTGGCAGATGCACTCTGGAACATGTATGTAGAAGAAGAAGTTTTTGATGGTGACAACTTATACCACTGTGGGACATGTGATCAGCTGGTTACAGCAGTGAAGGTAAGGATATTTCCCAGGGTGTCTGTTTAGTACTTCCTGCTCAGTACACAGTAGCAAGGAATCAATGTGCATAAAAAGTCTGGAAAGAATATACACAAAACCCTAGCACTTTAACACCGGGTCTTGAACAAACGTTTCTGTAATAAGTCTCAATTTCAGTTTTTTACAACCTTTTGAAAGCTTTCAAGAGAATAGTTGTTTTCCTCTCAGCTTCTTCCTCTCCCAGGAAACTTGCCCTTGCACCCTTTTCAACAAACTCTTCTTACATCTGCTTTATGCAGACTGCTATTCTGAAGAAGGCAGCTGTTAAGTGTCATCAAGTCAGTTCTGACTCATAATGATGCTGTATAGGGCTTCCGAGGAGCAACTGGTGAGTTTGAATCACCGACCTTGTGGTTCAAACTGACCTTGCAGTCCAGTGCTTATCCTGCAGTGCCACACAAGGACTCCAAAATTTAAGATTGGTGACTATTTTACCCCAGTTTGTGGATCTTAACTTTCAGGGAACTCCAAGGCTTTGTACACTCTAGTGAAAGCTATGGGGTCCTCGCCCCAGGAAAGTACCTAAAATTGTCCTAGGATTTAAGGTGTTCAGATCCCAGGTTAACAGCACCAGTTTTTCAGTAAATAAAAAGAACTAGGTTTCTGTAAAGGTGCCCTGGTGACCTCACTGGACTAAGCATTGGACTGCTAACCACAAGGTTGTCAGTTCAAACCTTCCTACAGCTTCAGGGAAGAAAGCCAAGGCTGTCTGCCCTGGTTAAGACTTACCGTCTCGGAAACCCCGAGGAGGAGCGGTTCTCTGTCCTGAAAGGCTAGGGGCTGGGCAGGAAATGGGCCTGCCCGTAACATCGCATTGCGGGGTGTCAGTGCTAACGCGTGTCACTGGGGAGTCCGAGCGTAGTTGTCAGTGTGAATGTGTGATTCCACCTCAGGTCTCCCAGAGCCGCACTGATACCACACTAAGGAATTTAGGGACTGTAAGACATTGATCTTAAAACTGCCTCATGGATGTACTTTTTGTGTCTTAAGCAATATCACTCATTCTTTGTGTATAAGTGGACTCTTAAACTTTGATTTTTTTTTTTTCTTCACAGTCAGCCAAATTACGCAAGCTGCCTCCTTTTCTTACGGTGTCATTATTAAGATTTAATTTCGATTTTGTGAAGTGTGAACGATACAAGGACACTAGCTGTTACACATTTCCTCTCCGGATCAATCTCAGACCTTTTTGTGAACAGGTTTGATCTATTTTGCTTTGAAATATTTTTCTCCCTCCCAAAATTGAATCTTTTATTGTTCAGTAGCTTTATCGGGAGATTTCTCAACGAGCACCATAAACATCGTGAGTCAGGTTGTGGTGGGGCCAGCCTGTGTGCTGTAGGTGTCTAGTGGCACCTCTGCCCACTCAATTCCAATAGTGCCTCCAGACCTCACAGCTGTGATAACCAAGCTGTCTCCAGACATTGCCAGAGCCCGGGTAGGTGAGGAGCAAAGCCCCTGCAGTTTGAGAAGCACTGGTTTGTTATGGTCTCCAAAATACGGCTTCATTCCCACTTCTGGATTCACCCTCTTTGCAAACCTTTGAAGGGAAATTGTAAAAACAAAAGTAGAAAATGACCCTGCCTCGGGAGGCGGGACCTCGTGGCGCGGTCGGAGGCGGGGCAAGCTTTGCATCTCTCGGTGGAGGCGGCCTCCGTGTGGGGCGAGCACGGGGACCCTGCGCCGGCCCGCTCCTGGGTGCCGCGCCATGCGAACACCGGCCTAGAGCCAGGATTGGAACCACAAGATGGCTGCCCAGGACCCTGGGGGCATTAGCCCTCTCCAGCAAATGGTGGCTTCCGGGGCTGGAGCTGTGGTCACCTCCCTCTTCATGACACCCCTGGACGTGGTGAAGGTGCGCTTGCAGTCCCAGAGCCGCCCCTCAGTGGCCTGTGAAATGACAGCTCCTTCTAGACTCTGGTGTGTCTCCTACACCAAATTGCCCGCCTCTCTCCAACCCACAGGGACGTGCCTCCTGTACTGCAATGGGGTCCTGGAGCCTCTTTACCTGTGCCCAAACAGTGCCTGTTGTGCCACCTGGTTTCAGGATCCTACCCACTTCACTGGCACCATGGATGCCTTTGTGAAGATTGTACGGCATGAGGGCACCAGGACCCTGTGGAGCAGCCTCCCGGCCACCCTGGTGATAACTGTACCAGCCACTGCCATCTACTTCGCCGCCTATGACCAACTCATGACTTTCCTGTGTGGCTGAGCCTTGACTTCTGACCTCTATGCACCAATGGTGGTTGGCCCACTGGCCCGCTTGGGCACGGTGACTGTCGTCAGCCCCCTGGAACTGGTACGGACAAAGCTGCAGGCTCAGCATGTGTCCTTCCGGGAGCTGAGCATCTCTGTGCAGACCGCGGTGGCTCAGGGAGCCTGGTGTTCCCTGTGGCTGGGCTGGGGGTCCACTGCCCTTCAGGATGTTCCCTTCTCAGCCCTCTGTTGGTTCAACTACGAGCTGGTGAAGAACTGGCTCAGTGGACCCAGACCAAAGGCTCGGACCTTCGTGGGCATCAGCTTTGTGGATAGTGGCATCTCAGGGACGGTGGCGGCCATCCTGACTCTGCCTTTTGATGTGGTGAAGACTCAGCACCAGGTTGCTCTGGGAGCAATGGAGGCTATGAGAGTGAGACCCCCATGTGTCGACTCCACCTGGCTGTTGCTGAGGAGGATTCTGGCCGAATCGGGCACTAGGGGGCTCTTTGCAGGCTTCCTCCCGAGGAGCATCAAGGCTGCCCCCTCCTGTGCCATCATGATCAGCACCTATGAGTTCAGCAAAAGCTTCTCCCAGAAGCTCAACCAGGAACAACTAACTACGGGCCCTCGAAAGTGGCCATGGGCTGAGGACCCCCATCTCTTCCAGGGATGGGGTGCAGGGCCAGAGGAGACTGAGGCAAGTGCCTTTTCCTCAGCACTGAGGAGCGGGAGCAGGGCCCTGCATTCCTTCCCACCTCAGGGCCCTCAGGACCTCGGATGTGGTTCCTCCTGCTGCTCTCCCCCGAGACTCAGCATTCTCACTACCCCCACCAGGTTCAAGGCCAAATCTGCTGCCTGCTCACACCCTCCTTTCCATGTATGTTTGCTGTAACTGGGTCTGCCTCCAGGAGTCAAAACCCCTGCGTCCATTAATTCCTGATGTCTAAAGATGATGAACTTTAAAAAGAAAATAACCCCGCCTCTGTTAAAGTCAGTGAACTGGACTTTGCTGTTTGCGTTTCCTTTATTGTAAATGTGGTAGCGCACTATGTATCTAGGAAGTGGTGGTGCTGTTAGGCTCCGACTCACAGGGACCCTGTATAGGTTTTCCGAAGAGTGGCTGATGGGTTTGAACCACCGCTTTTGTGGTTCAAACTGACCTTGTGGTCAAGCACAGATCTTGCAGCGCCACACCAGGACTCCATCAAAAAGAAAAGAAAAAAAAAAACAGACAAGACTTCACTAGTCTGGAATTTGTAACTTGGAGAAAAACGTTCTGAAAACAAATGAGTTACACAGTTGACCTAATGGTTATACTATACATTTTCAAATATTCCATCCTTACTATACATGCCAAGATCAAAATGATGCGACGTGTGTATTACAGAGCTCTTGTTGGCTAGTTACTAGACGTCTCAGTACAAAAGTCATCTTTTGTTGATCAACATTTTAAACTTCCAACTCTTCACAGACAGGCTTTCCTCTGCCTCAGCCTAACTAGTGAGCATTTTGTGTTTATTGCACTGCATTCCTTCCCAGTCAGAGTTCTGGTGTGTGGGTCCTCAGCCTGTGGTTGACATACAGAAGAATTCCAAATTGGACATTTCAAGCCAATTCTTTGAATCCATATGAATGTATCCTTAAGTACCAGATGGCAGGGAAGTGTCTTACTCATTTCAGTAGTTGTCGTTTTCCTTTGTTCCATGTCAACAGTCTAACAGTTCCATGTCACTTTCCTAGAGTGAATCGGATGACTCGGAATACAT